GGTATAATTGAAGCCATTTATAATTTCTTTGCTCATTCAACAACTCGATGGGACGAACTGCAGAAGAGTTTAAGATCTCTGTCAAGTGTGAGTCAGAAAGACGGTGGAGTGCAAGAGAAAAGGCAGTAAAAGTTGTACATGAAAAACTGGTTGAATTGCTAGGACTGTTAGAGCAATGAAGTGAGAATGACAACACGGCTGAAACAAAATGTGGTGCTCATAACATTCTGCAACACATGCTTACATTTGATTTTCTTTTACTTTTGCATTTTTGGAGAAATCTTTTATCATCTATCACTCAAGTGCAGAAATGTATTCAGGACCCCAAAATGAATTTTAGAGAAGTAGCTGCTGATCTTGATTCTTTGAATGAGAAATTGATAGAATCACGTGAAAAGTCCTGTCAAGAAGCACTTAAAGTGGGCAAGAATCAATGTGAAAGACCATTGAAAGAAGAAAAATACGTTGTAAACGAATGCCAGGTGAAAATGCAGCTGATGCTGGATTGACTGCTGAACAGGAAATTGATCGCTTGATTACAGAAATAACAGGAAGATTTTCTCGCTTACTAGATTTAGATTCACAGTTTGGATTTATACTAGATGTGCAAAATATTGTTTCTGGAGATTTCAAAGACAGAAAATTGCAAGAAAAATGTTCTGACTTAGCAAAGAGCTATCCAGGTGATATTGATGGACCAGAATTGTACAGAGAAATTAATGACTGTAGAATGTTGATAACTAAAAGAACACAGACCGATTTTCCTGAATCAATGGTTGCAACTGATTTGCTAACATTTATAATTTCATATGGTTAAGATGTTTTCCCAGATTTAAGAATTGTATTGCAGATTTTGTTAACAATTGGGGTTTCTATTGCTAGTTGTGAAAGGTTCTTCAGCAAGCTGAAATTAATTCTTACATACTTGAGAACCTCAGTGACTCAAGAATGACTTAGTAACTTGGAAATATTAAGTATTGAAAAAGACGTACTTAATACCTTAAATTTTGATAGTTTAATTGATGCATTTGCAGCAGCAAAAGCATGAAAGGTTCATATAATGTAACCATGAATACCAGAATGCTACCTGTACAAGATCTAGTTAAGTATATGTACAGTTTTTTTAAAGTAATAAAATTTGTTATTTATAAGCTTAAGTAGTATTTTATCAATCTGTTTTATAATCCATGTACACCACAAGTGACTGGCTTCTCATATAAAACATAAGTTTCAAAACTAGGGATATAACAGAAATTTATTCTGCATGCTTGAAAGATTACTCTAGCTATGTGACTTTGAACAATACTGGATGACATAAATGACAAAATGGTTTACAAATTATGTAAGTATACCTAATAGGCTATACTTCATTAGTTCCAGGTTTACAGTTATGATATATTGTGAGATGTTATATTGTGACTTTATTTTAGGCCCGTGTAAGGTGGTAATTAATTCTTTATGTTATTGTCATTAAGTGGGTAATGAGTCACAAAACAAATAATCAAAACATTTCAGAGGTGGGGGTGCCAGAAGTGTCTTTGCCCCCTGGTGCTGATAACTTTTGCTATGCCCCTGCTCTGATATCTAGCATTGCACAACAATCAGGCGAGGGGGATTCACTTTGGGTTGAGACTGTCAGTGATCTTATTCATAGTGAGATGGAAACATATATTCGGATCTGTGACGGTCCTCTGGAGGGGCTCTGAAGCTGCAATTAAGGGTGACATTTTGGAGAGACTTTAGATTTGCATTTTCCTCTGTCTAATTGTAATCTGTTGGATTTTCAGCCCACCTGTGGGACAGTGGTAAGTTTTTGGTCTCACAGCATTGGGGTCCGAGGTTCGATTCCCGAGGGTGGACACAGCAAATGGCCTGAAGTTACTTTGCTATAACTAAACAACTTACTTTACCTGACAAAATGCTGTTCCAATCAATGATAATCAACACATCAAAACAAAACGAAAATGAGGCCACTCTGGGATAACCTGCCTTTGATTTGTTTTCCTTCTGTTGGTTCTTTGAGTGTGTGATGTTTTGGGCTTTTTCCAGTTGCTTTTGAGCCTGTAACTTACTTGATGGCTGAAAGGTCAGGGAGCGAATTTTTTTGTGTTTTTCTATCCATATACACTTTACTTTTTAGTTACATGAATGGAAAGTTAGGCCTTATGCGACACATTGTCCTACCACTACCAGGTGGAGGCATTTTTACAACTCTCCAATAATAAATCTGCTCCTCGAATTTTGGGGTTCTAAGGTGGAGTTTAATTCACCTATATAGGTCTATTTCTCTTAATGGGACAAAGTAAGTCTATGGATTTACAACTCAAATTCAACATTTTGTTTCCTTTCACTTCTTTGTTGGAAAACTCTCAGGATGACCAGCTTCATTGATGATGAGCTGGATCCATTGTTAGTATGCACGTTGGTTCAATTTTTGGCTTCTACATTCCTCCCAGTTGTTGTTGGAATCTCGAACTTCATCGGATCCTACATGGGGTCATAGTTCCACCTCTATTTGTGAACTCCCGACATCAGCCTCTCGGTACATTGGTACTCAGAATTGATTCTGTCTATATCCAAGGTTTTGACTGCTTTGTCGGATCGGCAGCAGCGTTGTGATTATTATATACCTTCATGGGCTGTGAAGTTCCAAGAATTTCTGGACGTGTGGTAACCTTAATCATAGGTCCAGGAGCTCTGCTGATCACAATTGGTCATTCAGTCCACATCTTCCCCATTATTATCCACCCGACCTGTATGGTTTCCTTCTTTCACAGTTCATCAGGATTTGGAACTTAGTTCTAGGTTTATCTGAGTCTGGTTGATCTGAGGGTAGTGAGAGAGAGTCGGGCTAGTTCTTCAAAGTTGTTGGACCTATGCAGACAGGAGATTGATGTCCAGTCATTGATCCTCCTTGTCTCTATCAATTTGTAGATTCTCCAAAGTTCACAAGTTAATCATTCTTCAATCTGTGTTGATTTTTTTTACTGCGATTGTAGATGTCCAACTTGGTTGTAGTTGACTCCCAACTGCACTTTGCCTAAGCGGTGGAGTCCCACCGCTATTGACATTTGTGGTGCACAATAATCTGGTACTGCCATTCTGGGTTTTTTTCCTTTGGACTCGCATATGCTTTGCATGGTTTCTGCCATTTTGTATGAGTTTTTTTTTCCTCATCCCCGTCATTTCATCGTACTATGCACACACCATTCCATGGATGACTGGTTACTGCTGGCACCATCTTGCCAATTGTTAGACCATCACATTCTAATTCTAATTTTGGGACTGCAACACCTATTCTTGCTCCAACTCAATATGTCATCAATCTAGGTTTATTTTTATTTTTCATCTCATCTCTCAGTCGGCCTCAGCTGTCTCTCATTCTGCTCAAGCTATAGAATAGAATGCCACAATCTTACTCACCTTTCCTTCTCCCACTTCATGGATAGTTCTTTCTCTTCTCAGAATGAGGGCATCACTCACATCATTTGTGCCTTTAGGACAAGAACACCAGTGGTCCCTTTTATTGGTCTTTAAGTGACCAAGGATCATACACATCTATTTACTGGTTTCCCCAGTTTTTTAGTCAGGATCATTTTTTGATCTCAAGAGGTTGTTAAGTTGAAATACTACTATGATTTGAGTTCCTCTACTGCCACCTTATCCAAAGTTCCATTCTCTTCATGAATGGAGTGCATAAACCAAACAATCAGGAATTCCAGGGTTTATGCACGGACGACGAGGATTTCCCACATAATGTTTTCATTCTTCTTCCTCATCAACAGGCAAGTTTTCATGGGGCTGGGCTTCTCAAAAGGTAAATCATCAGGCATCATTCTGACTATTCCGTGGTGGTGTCGTATGTTTCTCATCAAGGAGGTATGTGGTATAGGGATCCTTATTTTTCGAATTTTGGACCTTCTTTCTTGGGACTAGTCTTATCTTACCACCCTTCTACCTTGCCATGTTCCATGGGTGATGCCTGTGGTAGCAGGTCCATTGTCTCAATCTAAACAGATTCTCCCTACAGAATAGATGTTACATTGCAAAGTTCAGTTGGATTGGATCTCATTTTTCAACTCTAATTGGTGGGTTGTCCTCTCATTGGATCACCCAACTGCTGGCAATGTGGTCTTCTCCAGTACCTTATCTTTGGGCTTAGGCAATAGATCCTTTCTGTCTGGACAGGACAGGATTACCACTCTCAACCTTCTCTCCACTTCATATGTTACCCAGGGTACGAAATATGATTTATTCCAACCCATTGTCAAATCCTGTTGATAGCACCAGATTGACTGCTACACCCGGGTTTCTTCTGCTGTGATTCCTTCTGATGTGTCCAACTCTTCCACTTCTTTTTAGACTCTCGCTGTGTAGGCAGCCATGATCTGATATGGGACACCCAGCTATCCAGAAGCTCAAGCTTCTGGCATAGAAGTTATGCTGTCTTTCACAGGGTATTTCTAAGGTTTACAGGTATCTGTCTCAGTTTCTGTTTTGTCAGAAAGACACTTTTATCAACAATAATGATATACATATCAGCAATGTTGTATTGAGAGGAAGTTGAACCCTCCTGCACTGTTTCCAGAGCACTGTTCCTCAGGACTCCCCAATTGGATTTACTCCCCAAGATTCTACTAGTGGAGCTAAGGAATCCTTACCCATACCCAGTTTCCAGTCACTAGGATGGTGGACAGAGGCTTTCCTCCAGAGTGTCAGAGTGAATTCTTCCACTCTCCTCATAATTCTGAACACAGAGTGGTCCCATCCTGGGTCCTTGGTTGAGCACAGTTGTTCCAAATCCTCCCCATAATTCTGGAGGCAAGTGGAATGCTCTTTGCCCACTAAGTTGTATGTTAAACCAAAACAAAGGAACAGAAATTATCCAGTCTAGAATTATGAACATTCATCTTCACTCCCCAACTTAGTGTTGCCTTTTGGGTTTCTTCAGGTGGAGGAGAAGGTTTGTCTGCTTTGGTGTTGCTTATTTTCTCATCGTGATTCTATTTTTTGTAATGCATCACTCTGTGGCTGCAGGTTGAGATTCAATCAATAGTATCTATATCTATCTCTCTATATATCTATCTATCTGTATGTATATATATATATATACACACACACATAAGTAATGGGGTCCAATTGCCCAAGCCACTAACGTGGGATATTGAGACTAAAACCCCTTAATTCCAACCCCAAGTAGTGGAACCTGAGCTATCTGGTTGGGGCTGGTCTATAGTGGTGATCACTCGTGCAATTCCACCCTTGATACAGGAACTAAGTTCAGAGTAAAGAGCATACCTGTTCTAGTTGTAGTGTGGTTCCCCCTCTCAGACATCAGTCTTATCATGGTACACCCATGATCTGTTGATCTATGCAGATGCATTCTGTATGGTTAATGCCCGCACAGGCCCCTCCACTTTCTCAGTGTGGGATTCAAGCTAAAAGTGTCAGTTGAGGTATGTTTTGGAAGTTAACATTTTCCTAAATTGAAAATGTATTTCCAATAATACTTACTTCTGCTGACACTCTCCCACTGTTCCTCCCCACTAAGAGCCGGTATTAGAGACTGGGATGGTGTCAGTCTCGACAAAGTGATAAAATTATCTGAATGAGGTACTTATAAACAGTACCAAGATAAAGGGTGCATTGACGTAAGTGGAGAGTATCATGAGAAAGATATTGCCAAGTCCTATTGAATGGGGTATAAAAGACTGGAGCAAGTGAGAAAAAATCAGACCAATGCTTAGATGGGCAAAAAAGAAACCCTGGTGGTCGAGTAATAGCTATAAGTGTCAGCAGGGGTAAGTATTATTGGAAATACATTTTCAATTTAGAAAAATGTTAACTTTTTTGTTGCTTAGAGTCCATGCTTTTTGTTCATTTCTTTCTCATTTACTTTAAGAGTCTTATTATGTTTGTTTGTTTTTTCATTGCGAGATATTCTGATTTTAACAGAATCTTTTCAGGAGAGGCTAAGTTTTGAACAGTTTCTTTGTTTTCTTTACTTTATCTCTTTTATTCCACAGTTTTCTTGTAAACACGACATTTGCATTATTTGACTTGTGAGTGAGCTGATATACTTTCTGATTTGTTTGTTACAACAGGCATTGTGCTTACATACTTTTGAGGCCTTTGTGTACATCAGAGGTTTTGGCTAGTTTTGTAGTGTTAGATTTCTTTCTCTGGAAAGTAAGATGTCTGTGGTTGTATCTTTTTCTATTTGCTCTTGGGATCTTGTGTATGGGGATTATGTTCTAGCTCTTTTCTTACTAATTTATCTCCTCTGGTTTGACCAAAGGTTCATTAGACTCGCAAGTGTCTAAAGCTTTTCTAATTTGTGCTTACATGCATCTTCTTGACCAGCCACCAATATTTGATATCTTCCAAGATACCTCTTCTTTTTGTGGATCTTGTATATGAAAGGTTGGGCCATTTTGTGTCCAAGTGGAAACCATTTTTGTAGACCAGTCGTCCTTCTTGTTTTTTCTTTGGCTGTACTCTTTGGAACTGGTTGTTCACATCATGCCTTTCTCTCTCCCACATTCAATTTCTCCATCTACAATCCATGTGGAAAAATCAGTTTAACCAGTTTAAAACGAATATTTCATGTACTTTCATCTATTTAAAAACTGTTAAAGTGTTTGTAATTTTTCTTTATTCTTTATATATGATTTAGGCTGTTGGTGCTACACAGAAATTGAATTATATATAAACAAATTTGTTAACATTAAAGTTAACTATTGTAATGCGTTACCATGAATGTACTGATAGAAAATAATGAACAAATGTTGAGCAGGTTTATGGGTAGTACATATATATATATATATATATATTTTATGTTCAATTTTCAGGTAAAAATAATGATGTCAGAGTTTTGGAAACAAGGAACTCTCCTACATATGAACACATGAAGTTTGAATTATCAAAATGGCCACTGGTTGCTGCGATCGTGGTTGTTCTGTTAATCTTAACCCTGTGTATATACTTTTGTTTTCGACGATGTAAAAGGTAAGTTATAAGAAATTTACGGAAAAAAAATTATTCGTAAAATATGTTTCAAAAATGATTAGTAAAAGTCAGAGAAGTTAAATGTTTGAAATAGATTTTTAATTTGTGCAGCTTGTTTAAGCCTAAAATTTCAATAAAATGGTTAATAATGAATATTAAATGAAGCACATGTATAAGATATAAAGTGAACTTCAAGATCATTATAATCTTGAGTTAAGAATTTGGTGGTGGATCAGTAGCTATGCTACTAATTTGACTGCAGCAGGACCCTTTTTCTTCTGGTGGAGGGAGAGGGTATAAAGCCACAAACTTTTTTCAATATATCCAGACCACAGGTTGGCTTTGAGGAAACCTGAATGAAACTAATCTCATGAGTTTATGAATTTTCTTCCATGTTAGTTAGCACAACAGATTTAAAAACATCTGTTGTGACAGTTTTACAGTCAGATTTTTAACTTCTTCATAATTATATTTTTAATAAAATTCCAGAACCATTTCCCATATTAAATACCACTCTATTAAGCTATTTAGTTCGACATCTTATATTATAACCACCAACCCTATAGTTCTGAAGTGGCTATGCTTTTCATTTCTGGCAATCCATGTTTTATTATGTATAACTGTAGTCTTACCATAAAACACAACTTAAGGAATGTTACGTGATAGGATTTTTATTATATAAAAACATACTAGCATTAAGTAACAAACTTGCATCATGACCACTTAGTTAACTATTATACTTATAGAAATGAACCAGCTGAGGTTATTAACAATTGTTATTTATTAGTAGGTACATGTGATATTGTAATGTCATTACTTGGGATCTATTCTATGTGCAGCTGTCCCTAATGACTAGAAAAAGATTGTTTTTCTACCACACAGTTCTGATGTAGTTAATGCAGTGTTTAAATTAAAACACAAACTTTCAATGCTCTAATTTGCTGAAACAGATTTTTATTTTAGGTTTGTATGAGATGATTGAATAAACTGAATTGATTACTTTCACATTTAACTTGAAATATTTATTATTAACTCTTGGAATAATTGTATATTCTAAGTCATGCAACTAATTTTGACTATAGCTTTCATATATATATATATTTATTGGTTTCAGCATTGTTCTGTATTTTCTCTGTTTACTGATATTTCAGTTCATCTGGACAATGTTTTTTTTGTTTTCATTCTATTTTAAGATATTAATTAACCTTGATTTTCTGTACAGAGCATCTCTTTCAATCTCTTCAAGAGCAGATTTTGACTACAAAACAGAATATATTTTATAACCATGGAAGCAATGAAAAACAATTTTTATAACAAAAAATAATAAATTATGCTTTAAACTGTTAATATGTAGGCCCGGCATGGCTAGGTGGTTAGGGCACTCGACTCGCAATCTGCAGGTCGCGGGTTCAAATCCCCGTCACACCAAAACATGCTCGCCCAGTGTCCTGACTAGGACGCCAGTCCAACTCCTGGATACTCACCTCCAAAAGAATTTAGAGGTGTGAGAAACACCATACGAAACTACTACTACTGCTGTTAATATTAAGTCTTTTTAGTAATAAATTTAAAAACAACTCTGAAACACTAATAATCTAAGCAGTTCCAAAAACTAAGTCCCAGTTTTAAATGTTTTGATGAATTCTAAGAATGTTTGATGCTCTATATTTTTTTTTTTTCAGAGGACTGCAATGTAGTTATAACTAAGCACATTATTTATATTTAACAAGAAAGCATGTAATACAGCTGTCCTGTTTGATTGTTGGTGCTTTCAGTAATTCACTTGTTCAAAATTCTAAAAGCCAGGCAGCTGAATTTTAAGTTACTACAGTATAACCTTTCATTTTCTGTACCTTATGAAGTTTATTTAAAAAAAATTATGTACTCCAAAGTTTGTAACAAATGAAATTTTTAAGACTTTTTACCCATGGTACATATCCTTTATATTTCATGTAGATATGCCTTTAAATCAGATTATCCTAACATTTGTGAGTATTTATGTTATGCACACTTTTTAATTGTTTTTAAATAATTATTGATTTTACAACAGTGACCAACAACAGGGACCCCAACAACAACAACAACAGGCTCAGTCATCAGCCAATTATCAGAGTTGTCCCCAAGCTAGTGGACCACCAGTAGTGACAGGTGCTCTTTCTCAGCAGATGAATTATCTTCCATACCCTTTAGCATCAGGATATGGAGGAGGACCTCCCTCAACAAGTGGTCTTGGAGGCTCATTTCCTGTTGGTGGATATGTTGCATACCCTCCCTCTGGCACACACTGCTATTATGGCACTCCTCGACCAGGGGGATACCAAGGGTATCCACCAGTGCTCGGATATCCAGGCTATAGCAGCAATTCCCAGACAGAGCAATATCAAGGGTATCCTCCAGTCTCAGGACCTCCAGTGTATGGTAACCCTCCTCAAATGGCTAATTACATGTGCCCACCTTATGCTACACACTCTGCTGGATTTTCTGAGTGCTTTCAACCAGCTGTACCTTTCCCTGTCTCAGGTCTGTATGTGTATTTCTCTTGCTACCTGAATTTTAACTGTACTGTATCAGCAAAAACTGAGGATTTCTTCACTTAATTTATGTGTTGAAGAAACTTGTTTATTGATAAGAAAGAATAAAAGGGGACAACATGTTCTTATAAGATGATTATTATAATATTTCAAGTTTTGTTAAAAAGGTGTATTTTCTACACTCCAGTTTATTAATTTTCAATCATGTGTGAGTTATCCTTCATTTCTACTGGTAATTTCCATGAGATTAATTCTGCAAACTTTAATTATAACTGTAGAATAAAAACTTGGGTTTTCTGTTATGCATTTGCTTAAGTGTTCCCACTTCATCACTAAACCATTCAGCTGTTGTTCTTTGGTAGTGTTTTTGATTCCTTGTCCATGATGTAGTTTTAATAAGAACATAGAAATGTATGAAGATAATCATAATGAGAATAGTAATTAGTAATGATTTATTGGCTGTATGCTAATGTGCTAGAGGTTTGAAGACCCTCCATCACTCCTGGGTCAAGATAGCATCTAGTGATTTCCCATTTCAGTGGATAAATAAGTCTGTGACATGAGCTAAGGAGACATGGCAGAGGAATGAGAGCAACTTTTGGTTAGTGCAGCAATGGGACACAATTGGTGCAAGTCTCCTTTGTGGAGACTTAAAGATGCTAACTGTTAAATTAGGGTTTCTCCTAAAGCTCGGGAGGAATGGAAGATTAAGAATGATGTTGATGAGCTGATGCTGACTGTTGCATGCTCATAACTACAGTGGCTTCTTGGTCAGTTATCTGCTTTGAAGTATTCAGGCACATGATGGCTTGGCTGACCATGTATTTGTTTTGGAAATGTGCTTCACATGAGAGCCTAATGCAAGTATCTTACATATATTCATAGAAGAAGAATTATAGTGCTGTACTTATGAAACATTGGCACAGCTTTCCAATTCCTGTGGAAATGCTGGGTTGCAAGACCAAACAATTTGCTTCTGAGACTAAATAGTCCTCTGTTTAATTCTGTCAAGCACCTCCATGCAACTGAACTGTATAGCTGAATCCATTAAGGGAGAATTTCAAGATGGATGACATAGACCTAACAAGAATTTAACCACTACTACTTAATGAGCTGAGTTAATAGGCAGTGTTAATGCCTGTGTAAGGGTAGCTATAGAGGAATGTGTATTGAATCCCTATTAGGTACCAAATGAGTTAAAAGGAGATATTTCATCATTCACAAAAAGTGTTTGAACCAATAAAACTTAATTTGTAAATTCAACTGAAATATACAGGTAGAGAAAGTCTATAGCCATCATTACAGGCTGCAGTGAAGCTAAATTTGTAACCTAAACTAAGCTGTACACGTGGAGGATGTTATATCCATCATTACATGCTGTGGTGAAGCTTGATGTCATAACTTAAACTAAGCTGTTCAGGTGGAGAAAGTCTAACCATCATTACATGCAATAATGAAGCTTAAGTTGTAAACTAAACTAAGCTGTACAGGTGGAGAAAGTCTAACCATCATTACATGCAATAATGAAGCTTAAGTTGTAACCTAAACTAAGCTGTACACGTGGAGGAAGTTATAGCCATCACTACATGCAACTTGAAGCTCCAGTTGTAACCTAAACTAAGCTGTTCAGGTGGAGAAGGACTATAACAATCACTTCATGTAACAGTGAAGCTTAAGTTGTAACTTAACTCTCTCACTATGGGCTCAGTCCCCGGGACTGACCTCGTAACCATTTTGTGCTTGTTTTAGTTTTTATGTTATAACTTTGAATGCAGTAAGAGTATCTTCATGAAATTTGCAAATTATCAGTAAACATTACAAGGCTTTCGTATGCAAAATATCAATTTTTTTTATCAAATTTTAAGATTTTTTTAAGCAGTGATTAGCTCATGCATTTTTTATTTTCAAATGTTGACTATCCAACATGCAAAGTAATTTTGATTTTAAGATTAAAAATACTTTTATGCATCAGATAATTTTCAAATTTCACATGCAAAATCTTTATAACCTCCAGATTATTATCAAACATTTTTATTAGAAAAACTTTATATGTTATCTGTTATTTTCACTCTTGTATCTCTATACAGATTTAATCCATTTGACTGACCTTGTAACCATCATAAAAAATTAGAAAATAGATATAAATTAGGGCTTTTTTTGTGTTAGAATTACTACAAATTATAACACGAAAACACAAATGTTTAGTTAAAATAGCTTAAATCTCATAACATTATACATCTATATATATTTATTATTTGTATTTTATTGACCTTTCAGCTGTGTGTGACTAACATTATAGAAGTTGCAATGACTCGGAGCATGTGCACTCATGTTAACGTATCCAAGAATATAAAACTGGCTGTGTTCTAGTGGACTACTATTTTGTAAAATACAGCCACATATTGGTGGTATAATATGTTATATAAAGATATAAATTATTGCTGTTTACAAATAAATTCTAATATTTCATATAATTTTTTAAAAATATAGAACAGTAAATAAAGATGTATAGAAAACAATACTTACAAACTTTGTGCTTATCTGCTGCATCCTCACATAGAGGATGTAAAACAAAAAAAACATTTTGTTTTATATAGGCCTTTTTAAATAACAAAAAATCATAAATTACTATTTCAATAACACAGCATTCCACTATAATTTATCAAGCTTAGTAACTAAGCTGTATTTGGGTCTTAAAAAATATGATTTTTTTAGCTCAATAATGTTTTACCGTACTGCTTGGAATTAAGCAAGAAAAGAAAGTTTCTTGTGCAAGTACTTTACAGAGGCTGAGAAAACCAAGGGGGACATTCTGAGCTTTTGATTGGTTATACACACATTGTAGGGCAAAGTTGGTGTATGTAAGCAAGTATTTTCAAAAATGGAAGAGTTGGGCAGAGCCACCTTGGTTGATTCAAGAAATATATTAGTATCTCAGAAAACAGAAAATATAGGAGGTTCTTATCTTATATTCTAGCTTGTCAATATTGATAATTTGAGTATCTAATTCGTAAGAAACTATAGACTTTGTATTTGGACATCACAAACATCTAATTTGAACCAATGCTGAATTAAATGTACCATGTGACACACAAAAATCGATATGTAGGATTTTTTATTTTCATATTTACTTTTAAATTAGGAAATTAACTAATATATAATACTAAAACTTGAATTATAATCTACAATTTGATACCAAACTTATTGACATGCACTCATAAAATAGCAGTTCAATAAAGTTTGGATGGGAGTCTACAAATGCAATGACGTAGCCTTTGACCTGTAACCATAGGAAGACCTGTCTCGGTAAGGTTAAACTAAGATGTTCATGTGGAGAGAGTATAGTCATCACTACATGCAGCAGTGAAGCTTGAAGTCGTATCTTAAACTAAGTTATACAGGTGGAGAAAATCTATAGCTATCATTAGATGCAGCAGTGAAGCTTCAAATCATATCTTAAACTAAGCTATACAGGTGGAGAAAATCTATAGCTATCATTAGATGCAGCAGTGAAGCTTCAAATCATATCTTAAACTAAGCTATACAGGTGGAGAAAATCTCATCTAATGATAGCTACCTTCAAGCTTCACTGCTGTCATATCTTAAACTAAGCTATACAGGTGGAGAAAATCTAGTCTAAAAGAGGTGGTGGTGTATATATAAAAGTTCAGAGGTCCAAAAACTGTTTTTAAAATCAGGTTATATAATTCCTGAAAATCTTTGTATAAAACTATTTTATTTGTCAAGTTTCCTGCAGGTTCCTTGTACTTTGCTTTTAACAATTAATAACAAGTGATGTGTGCAAAGTTATGAAAATTTATACATTTGAAAAATTAACTTTAGTTTCATCTAATTGTTGATGAACACTATTACTTTAATATTGAAAACAAAAATAAAAAATTAAGTAATGTGAAAGATCACAAAATATTGGTGTTAATGCATGTAAGATATTTGATATTTGAACAATTGAAGATTCATTCTTCTATCACTAAGCATACTGAGTGTAAGTTCTGTGACATTTAACAAATGTAATAATATTTTACTTTAAGTCAGTATTTGAGGTAATTTTTAACTAGACTTTTAACAATCATTTATTTATTTGCTCTACATTGTCACCATCTTAGTCTATTTAATAACTTTTGTCAAGAATATTACAATTATTTTATGTACTGATTTAATATACGAGACCTCAACTTTTGTTTCATTACTTATTTACAGGCGCAAGCTACCCACCACCTACAGCTTTCACCACATCTCCTGTTCATCCTTCGGCACCTCCTGACAATGGAGAAAACAGACAGGTTTGTGTTAGGTTTTATAGGGCCATGATTCTTTACAGTAGGTGCCTGTGACTTGTTGGTGATATATTTCAACAATATACAGACAGCATAAAATCCACTGATTTTAAAATAATATATTCAAAACAAGTCAAATGTATGTATTAAAATTCGTTACACTATTGGTTATCGTAGTTATATCTAGAACTTTAAATAATTGTCTTTTTCTTTTTTTTTTTTTTTTTTTTGTTTTTTTTTTGCTATTACG